ATCAAGGAAAGGTTTCAGAATGCGAGGAGTTAAAGAGTTCAATCAAACTTACAAGGAATAACATCAAAGCTATAATTATGGTATGAATAAACAACAAATTATTTTCAGAAATTTTTAAGCCATGCATATAGTTAAAAAAACAATAATGCTAAGGAACCAACTGCTGGTTCCGTTACGGAGCCAATAACCAATAAGATAGGTCCATGTGAGATTGTCCCACATGGCTCTAATGTGGGAGCCCCACATGGAGCTGTCCCATTGGTTGTTGGCTCCGTAACGGAACCAACAGTTGGTTCCTTAGCATTACTCAGTAAAAAAAAAGGTTTTAGAAACTCATAGTACATTAAAGTAATCATTCCTCGAGGTTTATAACCGTTAAATTATCATGTAACCGTCGGGATAGTTGATCTAACTGTTACAAACCTCGAAGAATAATTTCGTAACGGGACCATAACATCTCCCTACTATATATGTGTTCGATTTGTAAATTAATGGAACATTTTTGGTAGACGATAAGACTTAGCATCTCACTTTTTACTAGTGAAAGACAAAAATTTCAACGAAAACAAACATTAATCAAAATTCATTCGACCCTATATATCTTTTTATGTATTTTTTTTAATATTCTTATTTTAAAACTAAAGTTGTATATTTATATTTATGTGTTAAATATTAATAGTATACAAAATCATATATATGTCTTTATAGTATACACTTTTCAAATAAATTATTTATTTTAGTTTTTACTTTTTTATTTTATTTTAGTTTTTAGTATAATATTTGAAGTTTGTGACTGTCCCATATAGTTGTCCTATGATACATATGTCAGGATGTAATGTTTGGCGGGACCGAGACAGTAGCGTCCGCGATAGAATGGGCCATGTCGGAGCTGATGCGAAGCCCAGAAGACCTTAAAAAGGCCCAACAAGAACTGACGGACGTAGTGGGCCTGGGCCGCAAGGTAGAAGAGCATGATTTCGAGAAGCTAACCTACCTCCGGTGCTGCATCAAGGAGACCCTCCGCCTCCACCCGCCAATCCCGCTCCTCCTCCATGAGACCGCCACCGACGCCGTCGTCTCCGGCTATCACATCCCGGCGGGGGCGCGCGTGGTGGTCAACGCGTGGGCGATCGCGCGCGACGAGGGCGCTTGGGAGGACGCGGCGTCGTTCAAGCCGGCGAGGTTCCTGGCCGGCGGCGGCGTCGAAGCCGTCCCGGACTACAGGGGTAGCGATTTCGAGTTCATACCATTCGGATCGGGCCGGAGGTCGTGCCCCGGGATGCAGCTCGGGCTGCACGCGCTTGAGATGGCGGTGGCGCACCTGCTCCACTGCTTCGATTGGGAGCTGCCGGGCGGGATGAAGCCCGGGGACCTGGATAAGAGGGATGTGTTCGGGCTCACGGCGCCACGCGCCACCAGGCTCACGGCGGTGCCGAGAACGAGGCTATTGTGCCCGCTTAATTGATGTGGCGGCGACGGCGGTGGGTGGGTGGGGGCGATCGGGGACGGCTGTCTGGTTTTTCATAACTTTTTCTCACTATTTCTCTTTTGTTTCCAGCATGTTTATTTCATTATAATAAAATGGAGAATTGATTCTCTTTTGGGTTTGTGTGTAACATGTGTTGTATCTTCAGCAGGGGAGTTTGTTTCTCTGGCAGGCAACTCTTTCTCTTTTTGGGGAGTTTGTTAGTTGTGTGGTTTCGTGGGAATGGTTGTTATTCGGTTGGTTATAGGCGATCCTCTGGATTCGTTCTCTCACTTTTTTTGACTTGTGAGCCGTCCTTTCGGCTTTTAGCCGTATCTGGATGTACGTTTGTAGTTATCTATGAAATTTCTATCATTTGAAAAAAAAATAAAAATTGAGAATTATTATCTCTTGTCTAACATAGCACTGAGATGTGTCAACTTTACAAAGGTTTTGTATTTATGTGAAATAATAATTGAAATTTTATTAAAAAAAATTGTTTTTACTTTTATTAGCAATTTAAAAAAAAAAAAAATTGAAAAGGAGAGGTCGTTTATTGAAATTTAAATTAGAAAATGAAGATAAAATTTGAAGAGAATCCAATAGGTTAACTCTGGTTGCTCCATAGCATTTGTCTGAAACTTTGGTAAGATCCTTTTGTCCAAAACTAAATATATTTAATTACTGTACATATATGGTCACATATTTGGTCCAATATTGTTGTCATAATTTGGTTAGATCATGTGGATTATTGTTTTTTGATTTGATTCATACATATCTGATCGAATGAATTAATATAAGGCATAATGGCGGGAAATAACACAACTTTTACGTGTTTGGTCATTTAATCACGATCTTTAGACATTGACAAATAAATATATGACCTTTACATTCTTGGCAATACGATACACGCTTTTAACGGCCGTTAACTGAAATCTGACGTGGCATAAAAAGTTGACGCGCACACCACAAGTGAATTCGAGTCAGCGACACGTGGCAGAATTTCAAAAATAATGCAAAAAGGGGATTAAAATCTGGTACCTCTAACATATATAGTGTGGTTATAAACCACTTAACCCAACACAACTTATGGTAAATACTTCAATCTCTATAAATGGTTCGCTTTGTGGCCACTTCAAAGGTGCCAAAGGGTTGAGACAAGGAGATCCGCTCTCGCCTTATCTCTTTGTTATATGCTTGGAGTATCTCTCGAGACTCATGAACCGGAGCACGGCTAGCGGGTCGGGTTTCAACTATCACCCGAAATGTAAGTTTCTTAAAATCTCTCACCTAGCCTTTGCGGATGATTTAATGCTCCTTTCGAGGGGTGACCCATATTCTATTAAAATCTTAATGGATTGCTTGAGGGACTTCGGAGCCAAATCGGGCTTAGAAATGAATGTCCTAAAGTCCAACATCTACATGGCGGGAGTTGGCCAAATGGAGCATTCGGAGATTCTTCGGGACACTAATCTCCGGCCGGGGTCTATGCCGTTCCGGTACCTCGGTATCCCACTCACGGCGGGAAGAGTCACAGTTGGGCAATTTGATCCTCTCATAAATCAAATTACGGAATACATCAATGGATGGAATGCTCCCTCTCTCTCATATGCGGGAAGAGTGGAGCTCATTAGATCGGTCCTCCAAGGGGTGGAATGCTTTTGGTTGTCTATCTTCCCTCTTCCGTCGACCGTCCGTTCGTTTATCATCCAACGATGTCGTCGCTTCCTTTGGGGCTCAAAGATGGCGCCGGTGGCTTGGCACACCGTCACCCTCCCACGTTCGGAGGGAGGCCTAGGCCTTCGGGACCTCAAAGCGTGGAACCAAACCTTGCTAGCACGAACACTATGGAATATTCAAGCCAAGAAAGACACCTTGTGGTACCGTTGGGTTCATCATGTTTACCTAAAGCAAAAATCCGTGTGGCAATGGACCATCCACAAGAACGATTCCCCTCTCTTCAAGAACCTCTATGACATTCGAAACCTAATAGTTGAAAAGTTGGGTAGCATGCAAGCCGCCGAGGCCACTCTTTGCCTTTGGGACTCCAAGCCTCGCTCCAAGGGGCCTTCATGCGTCTACGAGTTCTTCCGACCCCAAGGCACGCCCGTCCCTTGGAAGGGTGTGGTTTGGGGGCCCGCCAATACCCCCAAACACGCTTTCATTCTTTGGCTTGCTACGCTCGGGAGGCTCCGAACTAAAGATAGAATTGGCTTCCTTGATATTGACCTTACTTGTGCCTTTTGTGGGTAAGCTTCCGAGACAAACGATCATCTCTTTTTCACTTGCCCCCTTTCGGCTCAAGTGTGGCTTGCCATTCGGCATTGGCTAGGATTGAGGCGACAACTCTCCACTCTAAAGAGTGCATTGAAGTGGATTAAGAAGGAATCTCAAGGCTCCGGTTGGAGAACAAAAGCAACAAAGGTCGGGCTCGCGTCTACGGTATACTTCCTTTGGATTGCTCGTAATAGAAAGATTTTTGAAAATGAAGTGCAAACTCCGGAGCTCATTATTCGGAAGATTCAAACCCATGTCTATAAGAATATATTTGCTTTGTACCCAAATGTACTTGCCGACATGGAGATAAAAGCCCTCGGAAATGACTTGGCCTAGGCTCCTTAAATGGAGTGTGGTTTGCCTCTTTTTATTTTATGTTGACTAGCAAGTAAGGGACCGGATTGTGGTCGCCCACTTTGCTTTAGTTTGCCGTGAGACGGTCGATGTAGAAATGATTTTGATCTATAAAAATTTATTTAACTACCAAAAAAAAAAAAAAAAACTTATGGTAAATACTTGACTTCATTTATATATATACAAACATCATTTCATCTATATTATATAAAATTTATACAAACATCATTTTTTTTTAAAAAAAAAATAGAATTTTACCATGGGGAAAACTTTATTTTTTTTACCAATTTAATGCCAATTAAATGCAAATATGCACCAATTATGGTATTCAGTTACCAAATAATGTGTAACTGCCTCTCCTTTAAATTGCACAAATTGTGGCATTTTCAGCTCTTGGGTATTTTAAATGGGCAGTGTATATTGCGTTTATAGTCAGTATATATTTATTATATAAACTGACTTTTTTATTTGCATAGCATTTTGTCTAACCACAATTGTGATGCTTGAATTTTGATTCAATATATTGCGTTTATAGTCAATAAATTCAGTATATGTTACGCTTTTTTATGCATATTATAAACTACTCATAACAACAGAGGTGTGTGGGAAACAAACAGTAAAACACACTATCAATGAAAACAAGATGCATCAGGTAAAGGACAACGATTAAACGCCTCTAATGCACACTCAAGACCGCCATGGGTCACAAGCAGGGTGATACCAAATAAAAGTAAAAACATTCTGACAAAATCAAAGAATCAGAAGCCTGTCATTTGGGTGTTTGATTATATGTACTTTTTCTCTTTTCTTTTTCTCTATTTTCTGTGCAATTGGCGTCCGTTTTTAATTGATTAGCCCAAATCTTAACTAAAAATTTGATTCAACTTTCGTTTATTCCTTGTTGTTTATATGTTGTTTGATAGGTGTTCTGTAATTATTTTTTGTTGTTGCTGTACAATTTTTTTTTTTTTTGTTATTTTTCTCTTCTTCACATACATGGTAAGATGTGTTTTTATTTTTTGGGGTTGCTCAATAGACCACTTACTTTGAAATAAATTTTGTATGTACATTCTTTTATCAATTTTTTTTAATTCTTTAGGCATGTGTATTTGAAGAAGAAGAAGAAAAAAAGGGAAGAAGAAAGAAAAAACATGAAAGAAGAAGAAAAGGGAAAAAGAAGAAGATCGTGAAGAAGATAGAAATGGTGTGGGGAAAAGAGATTGGAGAGAGAGAAGAGAAGTAGAGAGAATGAAAAAAAAAGAGAGACGGGAGAGAGAGAAAGAAAAAAGAAAGAGAAAAAAAATAGATAGGGATGTTCATGAGAGAGAAATAAATGGATAAGGATGTTGAATAGGTAGTTTTTAAAAATAATATTGCGTCTTTATTTGATTTTTATTTATTTTTTTATTTTTGTGTGTCTGCCTATTTTTGTCTAATGTTTGAAGTAAATTGGGTATTGTATATGGCAACTGTTTTGTAAAATCATTGTTAAAAAGGAACCGTTATAAAATTTTCCCAAATTTGGAACACTTGTTTTGTTGGTCTATTTGGACGGGTATTGGGTTGACATGTATGTGGATTGACCTTTTCAATAACTATTGTTGGGCTGAAATATTTAATAAATGGACCATCATTTGTTGAGCTTTGTTGGGTTCTATGTTGAGTATATCCGAGTATATTCGAAGTAACTTTTCTCTAGTTATCTGGTTATATGTTGGGTATATCCGAGGTAACTTTTCTCTCTATCTGAAGTATCTTTTCTCTTTCTATTCTATACACTTTGTCACTGACTTTCTGTACATGTTACACATTTTTAGTATATTTGAAGTATATTTTTGATGTATGTCCAGTAATAATTCCCTCCCAAAATTTTGGTATATTAGAAGACATAATTTTTTCGATATGAAATTTCACGTCCTCGTTTTTTTCGGTATATTTTTGCGTATATTTCCAGTAAAAAAAAAGACATATTTTTTTTATTTGTTCAGTATATGTTGTGTGTATATGAAGTATATGTTCAATATATGTTCAACATATTAGAAGATTTATTTCTATATGCAATATAAGTAAATGTTATAATATGTTTATATATACTTTTATGTATAAAAGTTAAAAAAAAAAAGAAGATATAATTTTTTTTTGTGGAAGACATGTTTTTTATTGCACATATACTGAATATATACTAACATAAACTCAAAATATACCATCTGGCGGCTGCCTGAATTATAATATTGCAACATACACTGAATATATACTAACATAAACTCAAAATATACTACCTGGCGGCTGCTTGAATTACAATGTACAAGTTGTGTGAATTAAAAAATTAATAAATAAATCAGTTATTATTTTTTTTTTCTCTCTCTTAATCAAGTCCACAAAAATGGGGATGGAAGTTGAATATATATGGTAACTTATTTAGGCATTAATGTAGTTATATATTACATTTTAGGTAGATGTGTAATTATTTGTTTATAGATTATATTTTTGTAATATTTTTAAAATCTTGGTGGATAGATTAAATTTCCCATAATTTAATTCAAGCAGGCCCAAAATTTTCAAGTGGACTGGACCGGAAATAATAACATGATAGGTCCGAGAAAATACAACTAAATTGGGTCGAATTACTATACTTCCAAACAGGACAAAATAAAATAAGATTGGTCGGGTCCAGGGTTCGAGAAAATATCAAGAACGATTTGAAATTAAACTACACGATTAAACAAAAAGTTGTTGAAAGGACTAACTAAAAACTAAAATTAATCTATATATATATTAAAGTGAAATACAATGAAAAAAATCTATTCCAAAAGTAGAAAAATCCCGCCAAAAACTACTATCCATTTTGGGAAAAAAAAATTATTTAATATATTATGTTCAGTATATGCCTTTTCCAGATACTATCAACTAACTTTCTTTCTTTTATTTATTGTCTATTTAAAAAAATGTAAAATTGAAGTGCCATCATGATGCTTTTTATAGAGAATGTTAAAGGTCTTCACATTGATCAGACACCCTTTTCTTTAAATAAATGACTTTTCGTTTACCCACAAAACAATTATAAATAATAGTATGTGATTGTTCATCAACACACAAGAAAATTTCATTGAAGCTGAAGCATACTGAAAGCAAATTTTCCAAAAAATGCCTCCATTGTTCAGCCTCATTAATGATGTGAACCCTTCAAAAATGACATGGGCTTTGAAGCTCAGGGTCGTAAGATTGTACGGAGTTCCTACTTATGGTAGTAACTCTGAATTGTGGACCCAAGAATGTGTATTTCATGATGCAGTGGTATGAGCACCATCATTTTCTTAGTTTTTTTCACAAGTATATTTCATATATGACTCAAGAAATAACTTTGTCTAATTATATATTTGATAGGGATCCAGAATCCATGCCACCATAAAGAAACCACAAATAGGATTGTTTCAAAATATTCTGAAGGAAGGTGGTCTTTATGCTGTGAAGGATTTTGTTGTTGCTGAAAATAATCCAAGATACAAAACAACCACTTGTGATTACAAGATCATATTTGTCCAAAGAACTCGAGTGGTTGAGATATTTGATATATCATTCCCATATAAGATGTTTGAGTTCAAGTCTTTCGATCAATTGGTTGATGCTCAAACTGTGGATGAATCTATTCTTATAGGTAAGTACATTGTAATGTTTTCATTATGCGAATTTTTTGTTAGCACATTATTTTTTTCAATTAACATGTAATGTGACCTATATGCAGATATTATTGGAAGACTTGCTTGCAAGTACTCGCCACAACACAAAGAGATACAAGGGCGTCAATCTAAACTGATGGACATTGTTTTGGAAGACATGCAGTAATATTAATTTTTTACTTTATTTGTATTATTTAATAATTTCTTTTTAGCCATCTTACAATTTTTAAATTATAAATTATTTAAAGGGGGTTACGTCTACCTTGCACTTTATGGGGAGACTATGTGGATGAGTTAACTGATTACTTGAGTACTGTTAACGATGAGCAACCTGTCATAGTGTTGCTACAAATGTGTCGTGCAAGAAAATTTGGTGTAGTTCGAGTGGAAAACACATTCTATGTTACCAAGATGATATTGGACAAAGATAACGATCAAATTCAAGATTTTAGAAACAGGTAAAAGGCGATCTTTGAACTTTACATTGCTATTGTGATATGGATAATTTAAGTTGATGATAGTACTAACTACTAATTATATTTTTTCTTAATGAATTAGTTTCTTTACGGCGGGGAACACATCAACTCCAATTAGTATCATGTCATCAACTTCTAGAATTTCAGTTGCTGAAGAGTTAGATAATGCTAATGAGATGGTTCGTACTATTGATCAAATAGTAGAGAGCAATGAAGTAAGACAATATTAGGCCCTTTAATCTATTAATCTAAGATAATTACTTTTATTATCTATTTTGACCTCTCTAATTTTCAGGTTGGTAGCTATTGGGTGTATGGCAAAATTGCTTCTGTGGAGACAAATGGAAACTGGTGGTATATATCATGTAACAAGTGTCCTAAAAAACTGACTCCTGCTGGTGGAAAATTTTACTGTGAAAAATGTGATGTTCTGGACTCAAATGGCAAGATAAGGTACTTTCCAAATAAAATTTATGACAAACTTATAGTTCTTTATAACTTATAGATACTGATAAATATATATGTCTTAATGCATGTATTAGATACAAAATTCAAATCCGAGTGGTGGATCATACTGGAAATGCTGCTTTCTTAATGTGGGACAAAGAATCTACTGAGTTACTTGGAAAAACTGCACCAGAGTTGAAGGCCAACAATGATGAAGGGGTATATAAAAAATTTAAAATAAACAATTATGTCCTATTTTAGATAATTAAATATTAACTGATTGCATAAAATTGTATTGAAGGTTATCCCGGATGAAATTGACAACTTGATAGACATGAAGGTTCTGTTTAAGGTCCAAATCAGATCTGCCCAACTTGGTGTTTCCAATGGTGTTTACACGGTGATTAAGTTAACAAAGGATCGTTCTCTAATTTCAAAAGTTCGTGGAGCACAGCTGGATAGTGAGGAAACTAATATTTTCTCAAACTTAAATCATGCTTTGGAGAGTGACAAGGTATTTTTCTTAACAGACTTTGTAATTTATTTTATTCGAAAACTATATATTTATTTATTTATTTTGTTATGCAGTTTTCTTCTTCCGTGAACAAAGTTAAGACTCCTATAGAAGTCTTGAAGGTAGCATCTGATGAAGCTACTGAAAGCACTGGTCTGAAGAGGAATCTTATGGATGAGTTTTCAGCCACCGGAAAAGGAAAGAATTTGATGGTTCAAGTGAAGAAAGAAAAGGAATGATCAAGTGCTGATTGTTAGAGTTTTATGATTCTTTCCAGCTGAAGGACTCTTTTGTTTTCTTAGTGGTTTAACAACAACTTTTCTAAGTCATTTTAAAATCAGTTGTTTCTTTTGTCTTCATGAGATGCAGAACTCATCTGTTTGGGATTGTTATTGCTGTATTTTGGACTATTTAGGCCTATGTTTTGGTCGTTTTGGATATTTTTATAAGGCTGCTTGATGTTGAAGTATTAATTTCGTTTCATACTTTTTTATGATGCATATTGTGTGGTATGTTGTTAATTGGTTAGGTATATTTAAGTTTTTCAGTTAAAGGGCTATGCAAAGATATACAGGTATATTGTGTTTTACAAGATGATTCAGTTTTTTCATTATTATTTTGAATAGCATATTTTAATGCTCTAATAGTGTTTCTCTATTGCAGGAATTGCTGAAAAAAGCTGGAGGATCAGCTTTAGCACAAACAACATCGCTTTACAATTGTTTTCTTCTCTTTTAGATTTTTCTTAGATGTAATAATGTACTTTTATAACCAATTCTGTAATTTTTTTTTTTTCTCTTTTATATTTTTCTTAGATGTAATATTTTTCTATAATCAAATCTGTAATTTTTTGTTAAAGCTGTATATATTGTAATTTATCTTTTAGCAATTTAACTTTTTTGTTAATAAATTTAAATGAAAGTATTTTGTTTTGTGAATTATTTAGTTTCTGTTTAATTAAAACTTTAAATTTTATCTGAATATCAATTTAAAGACTACCACTAACTTATTTTTGGAGTGGGTTAGAATATCAAATGATCATAATCCAATTTATTTCAAAACTTTAAACTAAGTCAACTAGAATATTTTAATCTATTTTATTTTGTCATGTGCAAATTTAATTATATGATAATTATATATTTAGAAGAAATTTACACAGAGTAAAGGATAACAAATTAACTTGGATAGGAAATAGAGAATTACGATGCAACGATTAATTATGATAGCATAATACTATTGTTATTTTTTAGTAAACACAACTTATAAGTAGTGGACATAAAAAAAAATTGAGAAATACAAAATTATAATGCACCCCAACTGATTTTTTTCCAGGAAAAAAAAAAAACTAAGAAGTGGACATAAAAAAAAAGGGGTAAAATTTATTAAGAAAACGTATTCCGTGAATACGTTTTTTTTTTTTTTGTAAAAAAAAATTTAAAATACATATTTAGTGAATACGTTTTTTATTAAAATATACATAAAACGTAGTGCTTTTTATATTAGTCCACAGCTCCTTTTTTTTTTTGTTTTTTGTCCACAGAGGCAACAAAGACAAACTAAAAAAGTAAGGAAAGAAACAAATAGTAGTATTTGAT